CCAGCTTCCACATGCACATGAGGCATGTGGAAGCAATCAGCCATAGGACACAATGGCCCTTGAGACCAGAAGAACTAGATGGTGCCCGGCTACCATGGCTTGGGTTAGGTGCACCTTTGTCTTCAAAGTGACATCTTTGCTTCTTAATACAAAGTTTAGGAGGCTAGAAGTCTGAATTCAGAGCACCAGCTCCAGAGGAAGTCTGTGTCAGCTTTACAGTTGAGGAAGGAGGTCCTTGTCTCCTTTCAACATCTGCGGGTGCAGTGCTCTTTGAAGATCTCCAGGTGTTTTGGCGTCAATCTTCTCCTGGGTCTAGGAAGTTCTCAGTGCATGGATCCAGGATCCAAAGGACATATTCTACTTCCAGCTCTTCTTTCTTGGTGGTACTGAGGTCCTTCTTCTGTCTCTTTTTATATTTTTTAAGATATAAAATGATTCAGGCCACATCCCAGGGAAAATCTCCTTACATAGGAACAGGACTGTGACTTGAATAAGGGTGTTGCATCCCACCCTAAACACTTTACAAATGATTGGCTGATCACATCACATCACATTATGGTGGATAATTACACCATTACATAACTGCTAAATTACATCATTACATAACTGCCAAACCACTGAGAATCATGGCCCAGCCAAGTTGGCACATATTTTGAGGAGACACAATTCAATCCATGATACCATCTTTGCAAGATTCTTCCATTCAGTATTTAAGGAATAATAATCAAACTCCTTACCATGGCCTATAAGAGCCTCTGTAACTATTGGACCACGGGGCACCAGAGGAACATTTTTGCTGATTTCTGAAACTTCAGTTTATATACTCTCCTCTTCGCTCATCTTATTTGAGCCATAACAACTTTGCTTCTATCCCTCAGAAATACCAATCTCATTCTTATCTAGAATCATTGAACTTCCTGTTCACTCCATCTAGAATACTGTCCCCTGTGATTGTCAACTTTTCATCTTGCAGGTCTCACTCAAATGTCACCTCTTCAAAGAGGCCTTACTTGATCACTCTAACACTATTCCCTGAGTCACTCCATCATATTACTCTATTTTACGTACTTCATATCACTTAACACTATCTCCAATTTTCATATTTATATATTTCTTGATGTGTTTATTGTCTGTTTCCTCTACTTGACTCACCAAGACAGTATGGCTTTATTCATCTTGTTCATATTCCCATTACCATTGTTTTGAAGCAGGAAGAAAAACATAAATTGAAACTATCAATTCCAAAAATGAGTCACTGTTTATAAAGGCTGTTTTTGCCAAAGTAAAATCAGGGACAGTACAATTTGTTGTTGCTCTATGAAGGTCTTACTTTGGGAGGCCATCCACTAGATTGCAGGAAACAGAAGCAGTTGAAGTTTTTCTTTCATAAAATTTTTCTAAGACATTTCTACTATATCCCACTTTGAATCTATAAGTAGCACATAATTAAAAGAACAGGGAAAATGGTTTTCAGTTCAGGCATGAAAAGGGGGCTGCCATAGTGCAAGAAAACTAGAAAAATTTTTTCCTTCTGGGAACATTTTTATTCAGTTATATGGCATTGATGTTCAAGAAATGGCTAAATATGGAAGGCAAACATTAACAGTTTTAATTAACCTCTTCAAAATGAATATTCCACCCCACCATGTTACTCTGAAGAAGTAAATATTTTGGTGACTTCCAGTATGATAGAGGAATAGGCAGAAAAGCCACACAGACCCTCCTCAACAAAGAAAAGAGAAACCAATTGACAGAGATACAGAAGATAATCCTGGAGCCCTGAGTTTTGAAAGGAAGTACACAGAAGTGGATGAGGCACCAACTATTGAAAAACCTTAACAAAAACAGTGAATATAGACAGAGTCAGAGCAGTGGATTGTCAGCTACTCTGATAGGATCAACAGCCTGAATATTTCCAAGTGGTGTTGGGACCTGAGAATTGACCTAAAGATCGGCCCTGTTCTCCAAGGGTTGCCGGGATGACTGCACTGGTAGCCTGTGACTAGGAAGGGAAACAGCAAGGAGGGAGACAACCTGAGCTGTGGACTTTCTGCTCTCTGGAGGGGACAGTCATTTTGATTGTTTACATGTGGCAGCCATTTTGGATATTTAAAGTGATCAAGGGTGCAGCCATTTTGAATCTTTACAAGTGGCAGCCATTTTGGATTTTAAAGTGACAGCATTCTCATTTGGATTCCAAGGACCTAAGAACAGTCCCTGTTTGCCAGGGACATATGAGAGGCTGACAACAGGAAATGAGACAGGTGGTGAGTGTGTAAGTGCTGCCAACTACCAAACAGAGGACCACAACACAGTACCCTGCTTAAATAGATAACATACAAACAAAACAAAACAAGGAAAAGAAAAGTCATGGGCAAGTCACTCCAATGTACAAGACCAATTAAACATAAACACAAAAGCGTCCCAATGCCTCAGAGACAACAGAGCATCACAATCTTCACAAAGAAGCAAGATAAAGCAGGAGAAAGAAGGGACCAGGATACAGACCCAAAACCCATCCCTGAGGAAGACACAGCATTGCAACTCCCTGATAAGGTATTCAAAAGAATTATATTTAGGTATTTTCAATGAATTGAGAGGCAGATCAAGGAAAAATTGAGGAAAACACAGAGAAAATCCTAGAACAATTTCAAAAGACAATACAAGAACAAAATGACAAAATAAATGAAAAATTAGAAATGATACAAAATCTACACGCAGAAATCCAGAAGATTAATATTAAATTTTCAGAAATAATAAGACACTGAACAAAAAAATGAGCAGAATTGAATCAATGGAAGATAGAGTTAGTGAGATTGAAGGCAAGTACCTGAATACTTCTTTGGAAAGGGATCAAACAAATCAAAAAGAGGGAAAAAACTGTGTCATTACAGACCTTCTAGATGGTAGGGAAGTCAAGACAACTACAAGATAGAAGGACTGTTCTAAACTTGGGAAGAAAACTAAAAATCACAGGGTAAACGCAAAGAAAAACGATAAACCTTCACATCAAAATAAAAAAGAGGACGAGGACTAGCACAAATATTTAGCAAATACTAAAACAATAGTGATGAAGGAGGTGATAACACTATTCATAAACAAAACGAGCTCAGCATAGAAAATTATATGGAACAAAGAAATTGACACCATGAAAAAGCACGTAACAAAAATGACAGCAACAAATTCATATTTGCTAATAATTACACATCTGGCAAGGGACTTATCTCTAAGATTTATAGAAAACTCCAACGTCTCAACATTAAGGAATTAATAATCCAATTGAAAAATGGGCAGAAGACATGAATAGACACTTGACTAAGGAGGATATTCAGGTGGCCAACTGATATATGAAGAGATGCTCATGATCACTGGCCATCAGAGAGAGGCAAATCAACATAACAATGTGATACCATCCCACCCCAGCACTGATGGCAAGGTTCAATGAAACAGAAAATAACAAATGCTGGCAGGGATATGGAGAGATTGGGACTCCTATACACTGCTGGTGGGATTGTGAAGTGATGCAACCACTATGGAAACCCATATGGCGATTCCTTAGAAAGCTGGAGTTGGGGATACCATTTGATCCAGCAATCCATTACTACGTATATGTCCTAGAGAGGTGAAAGCCAGGACAGGAATAGATATATGCTCACCCATGTTCATAACAGCAGTATTTACAATAGAAAAAAGATGGAAACAACGTACGTGCCCATCTGCGGAAGAGTGGATGACCAAACTATGGTACATACACACAATGGAATGTTATGCAGCACTAAAGAATAATGTAGACTCTGCAAACACCACATAATATGGATGAACTAGGAAGACATTATGCTGAATGAAATAAGTCAATAACAGAAGGACAAATACAGTATTAGTTTGTTGTTGTGGAGGGTCAAGGAAAGGTTTATATATGGAGAGAAACATTCTTTGTTGGTTGCTAAGGGTGGGAGGGAAGGGGAAGGAACACTGCAAAAAAAAATACATTGACCTATGTCACTTCAGTTTTGTGTATTTCACTGTACATAAATTATATTTCAATTAAATGCATTTAAAAAAGTAAATATTTTGCCTCAAATTGCTATGTAATTTATTTGTGGACATTTATTAATGGAATAGTCTCAATATACAAATAGTTTTAAAGAAAAAGGCATGTATTTAATACACATTGCATTGTTTTTCTTATATGAGTCATAATCCAGAGAAATTTGAGCACTGTACTTGATGTGTGTACTTGATGTGTACTGTTGTGTGCTATTGAGTCAATTTTGACTCATAGCAACCCTATAGGATAGAGTAGAACAGGCCCATAGGGCTTCCTACATTGAAGTCTTGATGATATTAAGGCATTATTATTTTTATACAGCAATAATGGCATTGTGACTGTTTAACATTAACCCTTATCGTATATGTTGTTATTAGCTGCCATCAGTTTGTCCCCCAACTCAGAGTGAACTCATGCACACAGGAGCAGACTTTTTCTTTGGCTGATTTTTCAGTAGATTGCTTGGCCTTTCCTCCTAGTCTGTCTTAGTTTGAAAGTCTGCTGAAATCTGCTCAGCATCATAGTAACCTTACTGATCTCCACCGACAGATAGGTGGTGGCTGTGCCTGAAATGCATTGGCCAGGAGTCAAACCTGGGTCTCCTGCATGAAAGGCAAGACTTCTACAACTGAACCACCACTGTCACCTATGAGATGAAAGGAAGGAAGGGAGGGAGGGAGGGAGGGAAAGAAGAAAACCACATGTACTCTAGCATATTAAGAATAAAGTTATATGAATTAAATTATTTGCCCTAAAATAATCTGGCAAGGTGGGAAATGTGGGTAGTAGCAAAATAATATATGTTTGGCCACATATTGACAACTGGTGAAGCTGAATGATGGGTAAATGGGGATCATTATAAAAATCTAATTGTTTTTGTATATACATGAAGTTTTCTACAATGAAAAGTAAAATATTAAACATAAGTCATTATCCATTCTACTTTTCACAGATAAATGAAACATTTCATGAGTCCAAACTCAGAAGACTGTATGTCAAATCTCATGTTGTCCAAGTAAGGTATGTAAAATAGCCTAAAAGGCACAGAAGTAGAAATAACTCTTTTTCCATCCCCTCATTTTATATGCAATGGAATATGATTTGCTTGGTGTGGTAGTTAAGTCTGTGTGTCAATTTCTCTGGGCCTGGTTGAATGACTGGGCAGATGAATGTAGTTATTCCCCATGGTGAGACTGATAATTAACTCCATAGTGGAATCTATTGTAGCAGCTGAGAAGCAGCTTTGGTTATGTGCTCTGCTTCCCGTATATAAGAAGCAGCTTTGGTAATGGTCTCTAGCCTATGGCACACTTGGACCATGTTTGCAGCAATGTCACTGCTCAACAGCCTGCCATGCTCTGCCAACCTTGGGACTTAAAATGGTTTGGTAACAGCAGAACTGTGCTATTTTATTTGTCGACTCTGGGCTTGTTAGCCTCAGCAGCCAGTAGCTGTCTGAATGAAGAGATGCCTCTAGCTTGAGTGGGTCGGGAGCAAGAGGCAGAGCTGAAGCCCAAGGTCGAGGGGCTTTCACACAGCCCCTAGAGCCTGGCACTTTGAACTCAGATTTCTAGCCTCCTGAACTGTACAAGAATAAACTCCTGTTTGTTAAGGCCATTCCATTTGTGGTATATTCCTGTCAGAGTGGCACTAGGTAACCAGAACAGTTGGTATACACAATTGAAGGGTTGAGATAAATTTGAATTTTGGGTTTCACGACCCCTGTCATTCCCAGTATGTGTGAAGAAAGTATTCAAGGTCTAGTGGAAAAGGATTCAAGGTCAGGTGGAGGTTAATGTGGTTTGTTTTTTATTTGAGGGCAGAAAGTTAAAAAGCAACTCTAAAATGAGATCTACTCAAGAACAGTATGGGTAATATTAGAGACCATTTACAGAAGATCTAACCCAGGAGTGACAAAGCAGTAGCCAATTATTCAAATCAAGCTTAACACACTGCCGTGGATTCGTATCTGACTCGTGGCAACCCCTTCTTGGGTTTCCAAGGCGGTATCACTACGAAGGTAGATTGCCCAACCTTCATTCCAAGGAGTGGCTGGTGGGTCTGAACTGCCAGCCTTCTGATTTGTACAGACATTTGAAAAATTGAGCAAATATAAAAGTTGATAAATTTCATATAAAAACAGAACTTTAAGATTCTGTTGAAAAATCAAAAAGTCAGGCAACAATGGGTCCACTTTCCCATATAGTAACAATAGGCTGGAACTGAGGTTTTGAAATTTTCCACAGTCCTCTACCCTCACCCAAATACGCATATATATATTTGCACCCATCCAGCTTCAATCCTTTACTTTCCTGAACCCTATAGAAATCTGAATTTATACTTATTGTTCAGCAGCCCAGATGCTTATCCAAACATTAGTGAGGAAAAGAGAACTTGAAACAGATGATAACAGATAATAGAAGTTCAAATGGGCAGGCAGTCTACATTAGACAAGTGTGTGTGTGTGTGTGTGTGTGTGTGTGTAAAAAGAAGAAAAAAATAGAATAAAAAGCCATGTTACAAGGAACCTAGCCTCTGAGAGGTGGCTCATGGAGAAAAGGAAGCCAAAGGGTAACAGAAGTATATAT